GTCAGTCCCAGCTCTATTGCTCCAAATTCTGTGTCTGAAGTATGTCCTGTCTTCAGCAATAGGGTCTTACCTTCAAGCTCTGGGAGGCAATCAAGGGCTCTGGCAATAGCCTGTGTAATTTTGGGAGTCTCTTGGACTACCTTGGCCAACAACGGAAAGGGAGGTTTCTCCTGCCTGGCACTGTTTCTTCTTATGTTGTCTTCAGCTATACTCATGGACTCGTGTAGAGATACTGTATGTGTAACTTTTCAGTAGATTTTTGGACTAATATGATTTCCGTTTTTTGTTTTTTAAATACTAGCTAGGCATTATTTATCTCTCCTCTCTCTCTGTCTTATCCTCCCTCCCTGCTCTCCCCATTTTCTCCATTTCTTCCTTGATAATTCCCGTCTACTGTGGTCCCACCTCTCTTGAGCTCCTTCTCCCCTTTATCCCCCCATAGTTCCTTATGTAGCCCTCCTTCTCCCCTCCCATTTAACTACCCCCCCCCCTTTACCCATTTCTCCCTTAGTAACACCTGTCTCCTATTGTTCTCTCTCAGGTTCCTTCTTTCCCTTTACCTCCTGGTTCTCTTCCATTTTCCTGGTTCCTGCTGTTACATCAGGATATATACTCACACATAAGGATTTGGTGCTAGGATCCACAAATGAGAACATACATCTGTTTTTTGAGTCTGTGTTACTTCACTTAGTTTAACAGTTACTAGTTCCATCCATTTACCTGCAAATTTCATTATTTCATGTCTTTACTGCTGAGTAGAACTCCATTGTGTAAATGCACACATTTTCATGATCTACTCATAGTTGAGGGACACTTAGGTTGCTTCCATCTCTTAGCTATTGTGAAACTGGCTTTGTTTTTTGTTTGGTGCTAAGGATTGAACCCAGGGCATCATGCATACTAAACAAGTACTCTACCACTGAGCTACAACCTTAGTACTTGAACAAAGTTTTTTGTTGTTGTTGAGACAGTGTCATGTGGCCTAGGTTGGCCTCAAACCCCCTAAGTAGAAGCTGGTCTTCAACTCCTGATTCTCCTCAAGTGTGTGCTACCATGCCTAGCTGAACAAAGGGTTGTTGTTGTTGTTGTTGTTTTTTGGCATGGGGTGGGGGGTGGGGTGTCTTTTTTTGAGACAGGGTTTCCCTGTAGCCGCAGTTGGCCTGAACTCACTTTGTAGACCAAGCTGGCCTTGAACTCACAATTTACCTGTCTCTGCCTCCTAAGTGCTGGAACTAAAGGTGTGTGCCACCACACCCGGCAGGATTCCCTCCGACCCCTCACCTCAGACAGGGTCTTCCTTAGCCCCAGCTGGCCTAGAACTATGTAGACCAGGCTGGCTTCCAGCTCACAGAGCTCTGCTTGCCTCTGCTGGGATTAAAGGGGTGCACTATCATGGCCAGCTGAAAAGTTTTTTTTTTTTTTTTTTTTTTTTTTTTTTTTTTAGGATGAGGAGCCCCAGCTGTCCTGGAACTATGTGGACCAGGCTGGCCTTGAACTCAGAGATCTGCCTGCCTCTGCCTCCTGAGGGCTGGGATTAAAGGTGAATGCCACCGCGCCTGGTTATTTTTATTTTATGTGTATGAGTGCATTGCCTGAATGTAAGTGCACCCATGTCATGGAGTGCTCACAGAGGTCAGAAGAGGGTGTCAGATCCCCTGAAACTGGAGCTATGGATGGTTGTCAGCCACCATGTGGGTGCTGGGAATTGAACCTGGGTCCCCTGGAAGAGCAGTCACTGCTCTTAACTGCTGAGCCATCTCCCCAGCCCCTGAACAAAGTTTTGTTTCTCAAAAGTAAGTTTTCAAAAATCCCATAACTAGATGGTTTCTAACTTTTGGTACTGCAAGGTTTTAATTTTTTTTTTTAAGCTTAATTTGCTACACTTCCATGGCAATGAGAACAGATTAGTTAGTGGCACAGGAGAAAAATGAATTCTTAAATTTGAGTAGAGTTGGCAAAAAAGACCAAATCTAGGCCAATCTCAGATCAAAATTTTTCTACAGAACATTAGCAGTCTTCAACGCTCAAGTTAGAAATGGTGCCAAAAATGAAACCACTTCAGTGGCCAGGTTTACACAAATCCCCAAAATGTGGGGAAGATGCACTGAAGTGCTATTTAACACTGGCCTGCCTTCCCTTCCCCCAATTCCTTTTGGCTTTATTTGTATCCAGTTTTCTACTTAGGAAGAATTTCAAGGCCTAAAGCTCTTATTTCCCATTCCATTTATGGAAGTCCAGATCACTGGCTGGAAACCTTGCAAAGGAATGTTTCCACTTTCACAAGTTTTACTTCACTTGGATGATCTGTGAGCCCTCTGTTGGAAGTATATCCTCCATGATCCAAGAGGTTTTAAGACTAGGGGTGTAGCTCACTGGTACAGCACTTACCTACTTATATATTCAAGCTAGTCAAGGCTCTCGGTTCAATCTCAGTACCACAAAAAGAAAGGTGAAATAAGTCATACTCTAGCCTCCAGTTAATAAGGATTCCCTCGATTTCACAGCTCTACAGTCTAAGAATCAAGTGGAGTATTTATGGCTTCCTAGTCTTACTCTGTTCACATTCACAGCAGATCAGTAATTTGAACTTTGGTTTTAACCATACAGAGACTTATTTTTTTTTGTTTTTTTGAGTCTTACACTGTAGCCTCAAACTTGCATTCCACCTGCCTCTGCCTCTTATGTACTGGGATTCACAGGCATGTCCCACCACATATGGGTTCAAAAACAATTTTTATTAAGACCAGGATTGTTCACCCTGCTTAAAGATAGTCCAGACTAATACTGACTGGGCAAATACCTTTTTTACAGAAGGAAATTTATTCAAGTAAGAAAGGGAGTTAAACACAGGAGACTTAAGAAGTTACAGCTCTGCTTAAACCATTCCTGCCACTGTAACACCTGCACAGGTAGCGCAGAGGCGGTGACCTTTGTGACCCTCAGCCTATGGGTTCTCTCTGAAATCCACTGTCCTTCATTATAAATTATTTGACTCTTGGGCTCTCTGCAAGTAACCTTGGTTAAATTGTCCTTCCACAGATCTACCTTAAATTCTTACTTTTCAGGGGCTGGAGAGATGGCTCAGCAGTTAAGAGCATTGACTGCTCTCGCAAAGGACCTGGGTTCCAGTCCCAGCACCCACATGACCGCTGTGAACCGTCCTTAACTCCAGCTCCAGGGGAATCCGAAGTTCTCTTCTGACCTCCGAGGCACTGCACAACACAGGTGCACTCACATACATGCAGGCAATACACTCATACACATAAAATGAAAATAAATAAAAATATTTTAAAAAATTCTCATTTTTCCCTTTCCAGACTGGAGAATGAGGTTCATTTTAGCATAATGATTTCCCTCAGCACCACCCACACATTTCTCTACCCATACCTCAGCCCCTCATCCCCAACCACACAAAACCACAAATACTTAAGTTTCCATAACATGCAATAGAATACATCCACTGAGATGGGGAAGAAATTTATCTGCTTGGTTCAGGTTAACTACCGTTCCTCACATTCTAATTTAAAGATCACATTGAAACTAGTCAGGTGAGAACACCTGTGGGAATAACAATGTCAAAGCAGGTAGAACAGAAAGGGCAACATATATGGTAGGCTACCTGACAGGCCCCCACCTCCACTCCTCCTCTCCAGCAAAACCCCTGTTCAATGTTTCCTTACCTTTTTTTTCGGTCTTTTTGAGACAGGGTCTCCCTGTAGCCCCAGCTGTCCTGGAACTATGTAGACCAGGCTGGCCTCAAACTCACAGAGATCTGCCTGCCTCTGCCTCCCGAGTGCTGGGATTAAAGGTGTGCGCCACCACGCCCAGCTTTTTTTTTTATTTTTCGGAGCTGAGGACCGAACCCAGGGCCTTGCACTTGCTAGGCAAGCGCTCTACCACTGAACTAAATCCCCAACCCCTATTTTTAAAATATTTTATTTTTATTTTATGTGTATGTGTGCATTGCCTGCATGTAGGTAAATGCACCTGTGTCGTGTAATGCCCTTGGAGGACAGAAGAGGCTGTCAGATCCCTCGGAACTGGGGTTATGGACAGTTGTTAGCTGCCATGTGGGTGCTGGGATTTGAATCTTTGTCTTCTGCAAGAATAGCCAATGTTCTTAACCACTGGGCCATCTCTCCAGCCCATTTCCTTACCTTTTGAAACTGGCATGACAGGTGAAAAGACTTCTAATGGCCTTTTTTTTTGGTGGTGCCAAGGATTAAAACCAGACTTTCGCATGCTGCTCTGAGCTAATCTCCAGCTCTCCCTTTAATGATTCCCAACGGCAACTATTTTTCAGGTGGAGCACTTCCTCATGATGTGGCAGTTGAAATTCTTCCCTGAACCGGATGGCTGATTATGGCTATTTGTGGCATTCTCCAGGGCAATGCTAGGGGGTTCCCAAGCTTCTGCAGAGGCAGCAGGCTGATGGACAGTGAAGTTCTAGATCCCAGATGCCTTAGCACATAGCAGGGGGCAAAGAACATGCATCATTTTTTTTTTTTTTTTCTGAAACTGGTCTAAGAACAGACAGGACCCTAAAAAAGCAGGATGAATTTGTAGAGTATTATTGCGGCTACAAATCCCTAAAAGCTTTAATTATTTACTATTCTAGTGTGTCTGTGTGTGGCACACACGTGGAGGTCGGAGGACAGCTTTTTTGAGTTGGTTCTCTCATTCTACTGTGGGTTCTGGGGATTGATAAGTCATCAGGCTTTCAGGGAAAACACTTTTACTCACTGAAAGTTTTTTATTTTTACTTTTTTGTGTGTGTGGAGGGTCTTTTTGAGATAGGGTTTCCCTATAGCCCCAGCTGGTCCAGCACTCGCTATGTAGACCAGGCTGGCCTTCAAGTCACAGATACTGGCTTGCCTCTGCCTCCTGAGTGCTGGGATTAAAGGCATGTGGCACCATGCCTTACCCTGTGAATTTCCATTCTGTTTCATCTAATGAAGGAAATTCTTGCCCATTATTGTGGAAAATAATGTTTATAATCCTAAAGAATAACTTTTTTTATTATCATGATGTGGGAAATAAACAAATGGACAAAAAAAACAAAAAACAAAAATCAAAAAAAACCCAGGGAAGACAGTTCAAGAAAGTACACTGACAATGCCCTCTTCTAAGTTCCAAATTTCTTCTTTTTGATGGGTGGTGGGAGTTGGGCAATGATGTCATCCAGAGGCCGTTCTACCGCCACGAGTGTCCTTTCATCCAAAAGATCCATGAAGAGCAGAGGCTGCAGAGAGGTAACAGTGACATCACCAGCATCATTCTCCAGGCCAGTTCTCAACAGAACAACCAGAGCTAAAAGGTTAGCCCTGGCCGAGGTGCACAGGGTTGAAATCCATGACAGTCTTTCCTGTCTTTGGACTCAAAATAGGAGGGAAGGCTGCCAGCTTTGTTAAAAGCTGGTTCACAGGGAATGCAACTTGGAACTTGACATGGGCCAGAATGGCATAGTACCATAAGCTTTGTTTTATATACAGTGAAAAGATTAGCCAGAAAAGAGAAAATCATACTAAGTTCAATGACTTCCATTTACTTTACATTGTGAAACATTCTCCAACCATAAGTTCTACCAAGTATCCACCCTAATAAGGACCCCACGTGAGCACTAATGTCATCGTTCACTACAACTGTCTTTCATGTAGGTAAGTATGAGCCACCTGCCTCTAACCTGAGTCAAGAACAGTAAAATAGTTATAAGGTACAGATAACTTCAAGAAGGCCACTTGTCTTCCCCAAATCAACGTCTCTGTATGTAAAAGATACCTTCCAATTATTAGTTATTCCATTTTGATAATATCACAGGGAAGCAAACCACCCAGAATATGACACAGAAGATTTTTACCTTATATATCTTAGAAATTTTAAAGGCATGGGTCGTGCGCCTCAGGAAGACATCAGATTCATCTTTGGGAGGAAGTGGATTATACAGCACAGCTTTGTCATTTGGAAGAGGCTAGAAAGGCAAAGATATATCATTCAGGCAGTACTAGGGGTTGGACCTAGGGACTTGTGCACGCAGGAGTCCTCTGAGCTATATCCCCAGCCTTTTTTTCTACAGTACTTTTTGAGAAAGAGTCTCACTAAGTTGCACAGGCTGGCTTTGAATTCGTGATCCTACTGCCTCAACCTCTGGAGTAGCTGGGATAATAGGACTAAACCACCAGGCCCAACTGGTATACCAAACTATTCAAATTATTACTTACACTGTCCAGGCACACTCAAGACCCTGTGCTGGAGTCCTAGAACACACAGCACTGGTTACTCAGTTACTTGCACTGGCCTTCTAGTGCTACAGACCCAGCTTCTGCTGCTTCCTTTTCTTTTGAGACAGAGTCTCTCATCTTCCTATCTCCACCTCCTGAGCGCTAGAATTACAGCTGTGCCTCACTATGTCTGTCTCAGGCCCCCAAGTTCTTTAAGTGTAGATCACTACCCTGTGTGTGTGGAGGGGGTCACATAACTGAATATAGGGGATCACAAAAAACTTGACAACAGTAAAAGGTTTCTGAATGTCTAATAGCCAAAAGTTAATCCAAAATCAAACGTGGGCTAGCAAGATGGCTGAGTAGGTGCTTGCCAGGTAAGCCTAGAGATCTGAGTTCGAGTCCCAGAATTCAAAAGTGGATGGAGTACTGTTTTCATTAAGTTGTTCCCTGACCTCCACATATGTGCCATGCCCCACCCCCATCCCGCCAATCATGCACATATATAATCAGTAACAACAAACAATTTTAGGGGCTTGGTTCCTTCCTTCTTGCATTTGGGTGCCTGGGATCAAAAATCACGTTATCAGGTTCGGTGACAAGTATCTTTACCTGCTGGGCCATCTCACTTTTGAGTTTAATAAATGGAAAAATTCTATGCATTCAAAAAAAATTTTAAGGGGGCTGGAGATTTTTTTTGAGGGGGCTCAGTGGTTAAAAGCATTAGCTGCCCTTGCAGAGGACCTGGGTTCAGTTTCCAGCACCCACTGTCTGTAGCTCCAGTTCCAGGGGCTCTGACCCCCTCTTCTGACCTCTTTGGGCATTTCCCGCGACGTAGGTGCATTTATATGCCCGGAGGTAATACACTCATACACATAAAATAAAAATAATAGATAAAATTTAGAAAAAAAAATTTTTAAACATTTTATTCATTTATTTTTTAAAATTTTATGTGTATTCGTGTATTGCCTGCATGTACTAAGTGCACCCGTGTCGTGCAATGTCCTTGGAGGTCAGAAGAGGCTGTCAGATCCCCTGGGAAGGACTGGAGTTATGGACAGTTGTTAGCTGCTATGTGGGTGTTGGAATTTGAACCCAGGTCTTCTGCAAGAACAACTAGTGTTCTGAACTGCCGAGCCATCTCTCCAGCCCCTGAAAAAAAAAAATTTAAATAGGGTCTCTAGCCCAGTCTGGGCTCAAATTGGCTATGGAGCAAGAGAGGACCTTGAACTTCTGACTAGCCTCTCTACTTCAAGAGTGTTTAGGACTGGGGATAGAGAGATGGCTCAGCGGTTAAGAGCACTGACTGCTCTTGCAAAGGACCCAGGTTCGATTCCAAGCACCCACATGGTGGCTACGAACCGTCCTTAACTACAGTTCCAGGGGAATCCAAAGCCCTCTTCTGATCTCTGCGGCACTGCATGACACAGGTGCGCTCACATACATGCAGGCAATACACTCATACACATAAAATAAAAATAATAATTAAAATAAAAGAGGGCTTAGGACTGTAGGTATATACTACCATGCCTAGTTTATATGGTGCTGAGTGTCAAACCCAAGAATTCTTATGCTAGGCAAGCACTCTACCAACTGAGCAGCAATCCCAGCCCCCGAAAATTGTCTTAAAATAAATTTTATGGGGCTGGAGAGACAGCTCAGCTGTTAAGAGCACTGACTGCTCCAGCCAAGGACCCGAGTTCAGTTCCCAGTACCCACACAGTGGCTAACAACTGTCCATAACTCCAGTTCCAGGGGATCCAATGCTGCCTTTTGGCCTCCATGGGCACTGCAAGATACGGGTGCACTTATATACATGAAGACAATATATTCATACACATAAAATATGAATAAAAATATATTAAAAATTTAAAAGACAATAAATTTTATGAGCTGGGAGTGGTGGCACATGACTTTAATCCAAGCACTGGGGAGGCAGAAGCAGGAGGATCTCTGTGAGATTGAGACATCCCTGGTCTATACAGTGAGACCCTGCCTCAAAAAACAAAAAAAAACAAAAAAACCAGCAAAAAATAAATTTCTGATTTATTATGAGTAAATGTTTCATCTGCATACCTATTTTATGTACTTATATACTGAAGGTCATATAAACATTTCTCAGGCAAAAGGGTCACGAGTGGGCAGGATGAAGGGAGAGGAGGCTTCATACTCCATAGTAAGATCAAAGGACACATAGGCTTCTGGCCAGTTTTGTCAGTAACACTTTGTAGATAGGAACACATAGGCATGTGAAGGAGCTCAGCTCACACAAACAATAGCTTTCTAGAGACTTTCCCCAACCATATCACATACTACACAAGTGACTGAGGTTTTCCCCTGGGCAAAACATCAACACAAACTACTGCCACTGATGTCACTGACACCTCAGGACATGGCCAAATAAATGCCACACTTCATCTCTGCCTTCTCTGGGAACTAGCTCTACCTGTCCAAGGACACGATGGACCTAGCACTAGTGCTTGGGAGAAAGCCATCTGGGCAGAGTTACAGAGGCAAGTGAGTGAGTAGGAGGGACTCTTCCTGTGTCACTCATCTCACAGAAGGCACACAGCCAGCTCTGCTTCCCACACCCCGAGGACACAGGGCCCAAGAGATGAGTTTCAGTGACACATCCCTGTACACATCTCCTTTAGAGCCATCTGTTACTTTATAAACCACGCACTTTCCACCCCCACCTTCACAGATACACAAGAACAGTCAGTGTAGTTATAACTGAAGCCCAAAGTGCAGTATAGGTATGGCTGTGGCCCACAGGGCTCCAGGGAAAGTGAACTCATGTCCAGGAAAGATGTGAGTTTCAGAAGATTCAGAACAACAGCTGGCAAAGAGGCTGGCATTTCAAAAAAGACAGTCCTGTCCCCACCTAAATCAGTCATGAAGACTGGAATTTTCCTGGCTGGACTCTTCAAGGCATAAAGATCAACTCCCCTTTTAAAAAAATATTTTAGTCGGGCATGGTGATACACGCCTTTAGTCCCAGCACTTGGGAGGCAGAGGCAGGTGGATCTCTGTGACAATTTTATTTTTTTTTATTATTATTATTTTTTTTGGTCTTTTTGAGACAGGGTCTCCCTGTAGCCCCAGCTGTCCTGGAACTCACTATGTAGACCAAGCTGGCCTTGAACTCTGAGAGATTTGCCTGCCTCTGCTGGGATTAAAGGTGTGTGACACCATGCCCTGTTAAAATAAATCATTTAAAAAGAAAATTCCTAAGTAAAGAAATTTCAGAACTCACCAATGACTTGTCAATGATGCAAAACATGTACGCATCGTGCAGGAGGATATGCATTGGTCTCTTGGGATGAAAGCTGATGTGTGTGATGGGAGTATCCCTTTGGAGCCACAGCTGGTGAAAGCCCTGTTTCTGGACAGTCCGGCTCCACTCTGTATACTGCTTGTCTGGGATGCTGAATTCAAACACCTGAAGAACATAACATAGAGCAAGTGCAAGGGTGTACTCACGAAGTCCAGAGGATCTGGTTCCTTCTGGGTTTAGCCTTCTTTCCTAATCACAAAATATTTAAGCAAATCATACACAGTCTTCTTTTTTTTTTTGGTCTTTTTGACACAGGGTCTCCCTGTAGCCCCAGCTGTCCTGCCTCTGCCTCCTGAGTGCTGGAATTAAAGGCGTGCACCACCAAGCCCGGCAGACCCAGTCTTACATATAGGAGAGCCAGGCATATTTCTGTGAGTTTGAGGCTAGCCTGGTCTACATAGTGAGTTCTAGGTCAGCTGGGGCTACAGAGAGACCCTGTCTCAAAAATACCAAAAACAAAACAAAACAAAAAGTCACCTTGCATTCTTTGTTTGCATCTGAGACAAAGCCTTACTGTTAAGTCCTGGCTGGCCTGGAACTTGCTATACAGACCTGGCTGGCCTGAACTTGTGGCAATCCTCCTGTTTCAACAACCTCGATGATTGCTTCATATGCCCTGCCCTTGTTACCAAACTGAGGGGCCACAAGTTTTAATGACAAAAGCACTTAAGGTACCAACTACTGGTAAAAAGTGTTAAGTGGAGCCGGGCATGGTGGTGCATGCCTTTAATCCCAGCACTCAGGAGGCAGAGGCAGGCGGATCTCTGTGAGTTCAAGGCCAGCCTGATCTACATAGTGAGTTCCAGGCCAGCTGGGGCTACAGGGAGACCCTGTCTCAAAAGGACCAAAAAAAAAAAAAAAAAAGTGTTAAGTGGACAATAGCACATATGGCAAAAGCTAATATACAACTTCACTAACCTTTCAAAAGTCTTTGGTCAAGGACTCAAATCTATGGAAGTGAGAGATGCCCATTTTAGGTACAGTGCACGAGAGTGTAAAAACTGTTTAAAATAGTACGCATCGTTTGCCTAGCAGTATAATCAAATGTGCTTCCTAGATCACATTTAATCCTTCCAACAGCTCAGTGGGGTGTAGATGATGTCATTTCCATCTTACAGTTGAGGCTCTACAAGAACTGATGATCTCACGACGTGTTCTACAGCCCAAGTATTTTAAAGATCACCTCTTAACAACCTGGTATGAAAAAAGGCTCTTACTAAGCTCTTACTCTGGCTAAGATTAGATACCTAAATTGTAGAAAGGCCTGATTTCTGAAGGCAAACTATACATTTTTTAAATTTAATTTTATTTTTTTGTCTTTTTGAGACAAGGTCTCCCTGTAGCCCCAGCTGTCTGGGAACTCCCTATGTAGACCAGGCTGGCCTTGAACTCCTAGAGATCCTCCGCCTGCCTCTGACTCCCGAGTGCTGGGACTACAGGCCTGCACCACTACACCCGGCTCTCATATATTATACATTTTTAAAATTACTTCCCAAATTTTATCCTACCCCATATCTAGTTTAATGCTTGTGCCCACATTATCTCTAATCTAAATCAGTGGAAATTCTTCCACTGTCTTGTGCTTCTTGGCAAACTGTGCCCCACAAACCAATGGGTACTGCTGTGCTATGACGTACATGCCCAGGCCATGTATGGGAACTGCCTGTGTGCCCTCCAAAAGCATCAAGGAAAGTCACTCCAGGACTCTCCAGGAGAAGGGAATGACAAAGCAGCAGAACCTTCCTCACCTGCTGGTCAGAGTGAGCAATGACAAGGTTGTTGGTATTCGGGGCGATGGCCAGGGCAGTCACTGGAAAACTGTAAGCAGGTACTGTGCAGTGAAGCTGAAGGGAAAAAACACAGGCCCAAGAGATAATTTCATAGATACCTTCCTTTAAAGCTGGATAGGATAGGTTAGTTATTTTTGGTATTTTCATTGTTAAGTTTGACTCAAGAGAAAACTGCTCTTGAGGTCTTTTGCAAATGTTTTTTTTTTTTTTTAAGCAGTTAAGCGTGTTTTTTTTTTTGTTGTTTGTTGTTGTTGTTTTTGTCTTTTTGAGACAGGGTCTCCCTGTAGCCCCAGCTGGCCTGGAACTCACTATGTAGACCAGGCTGACCTTAAACTCACAGAGATCTGCCTGCCTCTGTCTCCCGAGTGCTGGGATTAAAGGCATGCGCCACCATGCCCGGCGAGACTTTGTTCTTTAAAAAGATATTTTATTATTATTTTTTATTTTACGTATATGAGTGTATTGCCTGCATATATGTGAGTGCACCCATATTGTGCAATGCCCACGGAGGTCAGAAGGTGTCAAATTCCCCTAGAACTATTAGCCGCCAGGGAGTGCTGGGAACTGAACCTGAGTCCTGCAAGAGCAACCCGTGCTTAACCACTTAAGTGGTTAAGATGGCTCTTAACCACTGAGCCATCTCTCCAGCTGAAGACGGGGACTTTCAAAGGATCATCTCTGACTCACACTATGAATGAATGGCAGTATTATTACTCATCAGAGACAAGGGTTTCCCCAATATTGCTTCCCCCCCCTTTCAAATTTCTAGTTCTGTAAAATTAAAAAATACACTGAGTTTATAAGGTAAGCCATGAAAGAAAAACTTTGATGATCTCCAATTATGTATCTGTATATGAGAATTTTCCCTCTTGTCCACAAAACAGAAATACTGACATTTTATCATTTTATCAGTGTGTGTGTGTGTGTTACTGGGGACTGACCCCAGGGTTTCATGCATGCTAGGCAAGTACTCTATCACTGAGCTCTATCGCTAACATAGATGTGGTTTTTTTTTTTTGTCTTTTTGAGACAGGGTCTCCCTGTAGTTCCAGCTGACCTGGATTCACCATGTAGACCAGGCTGGCCTTGAACTCACAAGGATCTGCCTGCCTCTGCCTCCCGAGTGCTGGGATTGAAGGCATGCGCCACCACGCCCGGCTAGATGTGGTTTTATCCCCCACAAACATCTAATTTTAAATTTGTGTGCATGAGTGGTTTGTACTAGTCCCACTGACTGCTTTTAGTATTATGTGAGTATAACTTTGACATCCTCAAGAGATGTAAAGCAGGAATTTAAAACAGGAAAATTCTTGCCTAAAAAAAGGGCCTAGTACATTTCCAGGTCATTCCAATCTGCCCTGAATCTTATAAATACAACACTAACAGCTTCCTGTATGACACAAACTGCTGCTATGAAGCTCACCTTTAGATGATTCAGATTGTACACGTGGACTCCAGCACTGGTACCTGATGCAGCTAGCCAATTCCCATCTGGACTGACTGCCAAAAGACACATGGCCTCCACTGTCCCTGTGAGGGCAGAATAAGCAGGTCTCTGAACTAGGTACCCACAGGCTGCCCCACCCTGGAGATGAGATCCACGCACTTTTAAATCATCTACAGAAGAATTTATTGGGAGTTTTGCAAATCAGTTCTAAATACCAACTTATTCTTAAATTTTTCTTTGTCTTGTTTTCTGAGATAGGAACATACTTTGTAGCCAAAAGTGGCCTTGAACTTGGGATCCTCCTGCCTCGCTTTCTCAAACTCTAGGTCACCAGGCCTTGCCCGCTTTTTAAATTTAATTAGCCACTCCTCATATCAAGAGAGGCCAGAGGGATAAAACTAAAGGCATCACTGGTTCAGGCCTAAGTAAGACACTACAATCTGTACCTTAAGTTAATTGTTTTCAAACTCCTTTTCTACTAAATGCCTTTAAATTAGTTATGGGTACACTGCAAGTTTATCAGGCTTGATATATGTATTTAATTTATTGAGTGCCTTATGTTTAGCACTAAGGCATTCATAAGCCACATCTATCATCAAAAGGCTTTAAACCAATTTGCAACATAAAGATATGGGATAAAAATCAGGTGTGAATGTTGTATGCTAAAAGATATGTTGCACATACTAGTCCCAAACAATAACAAGATATGACAAAAAGCAAAGGTGTGAACCATCTGCTGAAGGGTGGGTGGGGATGGAAAGTGCAAGGCAGTCGAAGATCCGTAATTAAAAATATTGGAACATTAGCTACACTAACAGAAATGCTAATGGAAATCAGTACATCACATTTATCATTACTTTGTTACATAAAAGAGCTCATGTCTGCTAACCTTCAAGTGAATCCCTAAATAATTCCCTGAGCAGCAAATATTATAAGAATGTAGACATTGAATGCCAGGCCCTTGCAGGAAGAAGTATGTCTTTTCCCCAACACTGGAAGTCAGATTTTGGCCAAAAAGATCAATTAATTAAAAAAAAAATTGATTTCATTCATCTCATTACTAAATAGTAACTTTCTTTTATGTTTCTGAAGCAACTTTTCAATATTGTGAGTTAAATGTTGACAATCCAGGCTGACAGAAAGTATCATGGGAAGTATCCAACTGTGAGGGTAAACTGGATGAGAAGTTTAAGTCAACAGTCAACTGAGGAATCATTGGTACAGTTAGTCACTTACTGATGCAATCTCATGTCCTCAAGGAACATGAAAAACACTCATGGACATAAATGAACCCAAAGAAAATGAAATGCATAAGGAAATTTTTATCTTATACAAACAACCCCCCAAATCTCTACATACACACAAGAGGAAATACCAAAATATTAAGGGAGTTATTTCTAGGTGTCAGTATTACAGATAACTTTTACCCTCTTCTAACTTTGCTAACAAAACTCTAAGGATGATGAAATTTCTGTGGCCCAAATAAGGAATCAAAACTCCAGTGAGAAAAGAGTAGGTGTGAAGAACACTTCAGACCTCATGAGTCTTCACCTGCCAGATGTCTCCTCCTACTCTGAACTGCAAGCTCGGGAGTGAGTGAGTGAGTGCAGTGACAGGAGTGTGCCAGAACCCCACACTGAGGTCCACAGAGAAAGTTACCCCAGAGATGGAGAATTCTCCCTAGTCAGTTTCCAAATTCTCACCTGACTGAGGCTGGAAAGAATGCAGGTGCTTGAAGCTTCCTTCTAACAGCTGAATGATATGCAGGGATCCTTGATTTGATGCCACAAAGAGCTTTGTTGAATCTTCAGAAAACAAAATGTGAAGGGCAGAACGAAGGAATGCTGGCATTTTGGAAACCTTTGAGTAAATCAACAGTGAAAGCCCATGAGAAAAAGCAGACCCACAGCCCATCGCAAAACAACACAGCCAGACTTAAGTCACATTAGTGCTTCCCATCTCTAGGCAAGCCCTGGCACGGGGCCAGGAATACTGGCACGCCTATAACCTAGCTAGTCTCTTTTTCATCCTCATACTAACCGCTTAATTCCCTACCGAGGAAATAGGACATGACACCACTAGGCCAAAGAGCCTTCACTCACTGCTACCTCCTGCTTTGCTCCACCTCCCCTCAAAAATAATCAAGAATGGAGAGAAAAGATCATTTTGCTAGGGGTATTTCTTTCTCTTTGTTATTTATTTAATAAGCATATATTTATCTTTGCAGATGTAGTACTGGAGACCCTTCTAGAAGACTGCTTTCTTTCTTTTCTTTTCTTTTTTTTTTTGACACAGGGTCTCCCTGTAGCCCCAGCTGACCTGGAACTATGGACCAGGCTGGCCTTGAACTCACAGAGCTCCACCTGATGGGATTAAAGGCATGCACCACCACACCTGGCCAAGAAGACTGCTTTCTAACGGATATCTTCAAGTAACTCCTCACTGAGTAAGGATTCTTATTCATTTCCACTTCAAACAAACTACAGAGGCGTTTCCTGTACACATACCCTGGGCTCTTTGGATGGCAAACTTACTCTCTGGAGGCTTATGTTGTCCCGTACATACTTTAATCGATAGAGAAAGAACCGAGAAGCTGTAGAATAGGCTATCCAACTCCCACAAGGTGAGATGCAGCTGCATATAATGTTCTCAGGGCCCTGGCAATGGGAGCAAGCAACATGAGTGAGCAAGAACAATCCCCTTGTATCAGACTCCAAAATGCAGAGGCAGGTGGATCGTTGTGAGTTTCAGGCTAGCCTGGTCTACACAGCAAGTAACGAGTTCCAGGCCAGCTGGGGCCATGGGAAGACCCTGTCTCAAAACAAAACAAAAAAAAACCAAAAGCCCACCAATTAAGCCAGACGTGGAAGTGGCATACCTGTAATTCTAGCACTATAGAGGCTGATGTGGAGATCCTAGGTTCAAAGCCAATCCGAGCTGCATAGCAAACCCCATCTCAAACAGAGTCCTTTTTTGTGGAGGGGAGGATAAGAGGATCTCACTATGCAGTTTAGCTATGACTGACCTTGACTCATGGCAGCCCTCGTGCCCCAGCTTCCTGAGTATTAGGACTTACAGGCATGTTCTATAAATGACCAAAATCTTTTTTAAAAAGTCCTTTTGAGACAGGATTTAATGCAGCCGAGGGCAGCCTCAAACCCCCTATTAGCCACAAATGAATTTGAACTACTGAACTTCTTGCCTCCACCCAATCCCCGTGCTGGGATTACAGGTGGAATTACCACATTCAGCTAAAATTTCAAGAAAAAAAATTTTTCTGGTCTTTTTAAGACAGGATCTCCCTGCAGTCCCAGCTGGCCTGGAAGTTGATATATAAACAAGGCTGGTCTCGAACTCAACAGATCCTCTTGCCTCTGCCTCCTGAGTGCTGGGACTAAAGGTATGTGTCACTACGCTTGACTTAAAAAAAAAAATTTAGGGGCTGGAGAGATGGCTCAGCGGTTAAGAACACTGAATGTTCTTGCAGAAGACCCAGCACCTACATGGCAGCTAACAACTGTCGGTAACTCCAATTCCAGGGGATCCAACAGCCTCTTCTGTCCTCTGCTGGCATGGCATGACACAGGTGCACTTACCTACATGCAGGCAATACATACATACACATAATAATATTTTAAAAAATTCTTTTTGAAGATAAAAAAATAAAAACACTTTACATGGCACAGTCCTACTGATGTAAAAAGGACATAAACACATACAAACAAGTGTTAAGTTTTTTGTTTGGTTTTGTTTTCCTGGAAGGACATACAAGAAGCTGTTGGGCTGGGCATGGTGGTACACACCTTTAATTTCAGCACTCAGGAAGCAGCGGGTAGATCTCTGTGAGTTCAAGGTTAGCCTGGTCTGCATAGCGAGTTCCAGGCCAGCCAGGGATATAGAGTGAGACCCTGTCTCAAAATACAAAAATAAACAAACAAAAACCAAACCATCGGAAGTGCTTATCTTTGGAGAGTGGAATAGAGGGTTTCTTGTGAACATGAGGCTTGGGTTTGATAAGACAACCTTTGTACTATTTGAAGTATTATTAAAAATATGCATGCCTTAAAAAAATATATTTTATTGTACTTTATGTGTATGTGTTTATTGCCTGCATATAGGTAAGTGCACCGTGTCGTGCAATGCCCTCAGAGCACAGAAGAGGCAGTGGGATCCCCTGGAACTGCAGTCACAGACAGTTGTTAGCTGCCATGTGGGTGCTGGGATTCAAACCCAGGTCTTCTGCAATAACATCCAGTGTTCTTAACTGCTGAGCCATCTCTCCAGGCCCATATGCATGCCATTTTCATAATATCAAAAGGAAAAAGCCAATCTCCTATATGCATTCATCTAACAAATTCTGAATGTCCAAATTATAATCACTGCTGACATTCGGATTTGCAAAGTTTGTGATGCAAACTAAGTAACACTGAAAATTCAGAATGGAGAAAATCCTTTCAAAGCCCAGGCATAGTGCAAGCCTTTCTTACCTTTGTCTTGAGGTGCAGTAGATGATCTGCATTTTTAGAGAGTGGAAGGGTATCCCCATTCTTGCCTTAAAAAAAAAAAAAAAAAGCTTCTCTGAGGTTTTGGGGTTTTTTTTGCTATTGAAGGAAAATTATCTGTACTTTTTTAATTTACAAAGGTTACTCCTCAGTAAAATGGAATTTCTACCCATGTAAAATCTGAAAAATTTCTTCTCTTGGTAGACACACAATTTTTGCAGGTGTATACTAAGAGAAAAGCAAGCATATTTCTATGATACAGCAACAATCACCTGAAGCTCCCTCTTACAGAAATGCACATAGTGGTGAAGTACAGTTTGTGTGGCCTTGATTTTAACTATGTAGACCAGGCTGGCCTTGAACTCAGAGATCCACCTGCCTCTTCCTACTAGTGCTGGATTAAAGGCATGTGCTACCATGCCCAGCAAGATTTTATTTTATTTTTGTCTTTTTGAGACAGGGTCTCCTTGTAGCCCCAGATGTCCTGGAACTCACTATGTAGACCAGACTGCCCTAGAACTTACAAAGATTCGCCTGCCTCTGTCTCCCAAGTGCTGGGATTAAAGGCGTGCGCCACCACGCCCGGCACCAGACTTTATTTTTTTAACTTTATGTGTATATGTGTCTGTGTGTGGGTTAATTATGTGTGTATATGTCTGTGTGTGGGTGCCCTTAGAGGACAGAAGAGGGTTGGGATCCCCTGGTGCTAGAGTTAGGGGTAGTTGTAAGCTGCCAAATCTGGCTGCTGGGAACCGAACTTCAGTTCTCTTTTAACTTCTGAGCCATGCCTCTAGTCCCAGTTTTAAATTTCTGGGACTTAAGAAATGATCCAGGGCTAGAGAGATGGTTCATCAGTCAAGAGTATTGACTGCTCTTACAAAGGACAGAGGTTCAATTCCCAGCACCCACATGGTGCTAACAACCATCCCTAACTCCAGTTCCAGGAGATCTGATGCCTTCTTCTGACCTCTGTGGGCATTGCACTTACACACATGTAGGCAATACATTCATAACATAAAATAAAAATAATAAGCCAGGCATGGTGATGCACACCTTTAATCCTAGCACTCAGGAGGCTGAGGCAGGTGGATCTCTGTGAGTTTGAGGCTAGGCTGGTCTATGTAGAGAGTTTCAGGCCAGCTGAGGCTGTAGGAAGACCCTGTCTCAAAAAGAACAAAGAAAAAAAATAGATAAAATTTAAAAAATGATCCACATCCTTCTTAAGACTTGAACACTCTCAAGACAGGCATAGTGGCTCATGCTTGTAATCTCAGCACTTAGGAGGCTGAGGCAGGAAAACTGCTGAGTTCAAAGCTGGCTGGGCTAGACAGTGAGTTTAAGGCCATCTTCAACTGTAAGGGACAATGTCTAATCAGAAGACCAAAGCAACTCAGGAGGCAGAGAAAGGCAGATCTCTGTGAGTTCAAGGCCAGCCTGGTCTACATTGTGAGTTCCATTCCAGGCCAGCTGGGACTACAACTGCCTCAAAAAAAACAAAACGAAACAAAACAAAAACAATATTCTGACGCTCATCTAACACTCCTAAGTTTCCTTTTTCCTGTAGGTGGGAAAACCACAACTTCCCAAGGACACAGAAAAATCTATCTTTTCTTTTTGTGTATGTGAGTATGCAGGTCAGAGTTTGGGGTTAGGCACCCTCCTCAATTGCTCTCTACTTTTTTTTTTGTCTTTTTGAGACAGGGTCTCCCTGTAGCCCTAGCTAGCCTGAACTCACTATGTAGACCAGGCTGGCCTTGAACTCACAGAGATCTGCCTGCCTCTGCCTCCCTAGTGCTATGACTAAAGGCATGTGCCACCACGCCCAGCTCTATTTTTTTTTTAAAGACAGCGTCTCTCACTGAACTTGGAGCTCACCAACTTGGCTGGCCAGTAAGCCCGAGGCCCTCCTGTGTCTGCCTCCCTGTCTTTTACATGGGTGCTGGAGATCTGAACTAAGATCCTCATGCTTATATAGCAAGCACTTTACCAAGGTACTTTCCCACCCCACTCCCATTTTCTATTTAGAAAAGAGCTCATTTAGCCTAAGGCTGGCCTCAAATTCACTATGTAGCTAAGGCTGGCCCTGAACTGTCAATCCTGCCTCTACTTCCTAAGTGCTGAGATTACAAGTATGTGTTACTACATATGACGTTCTTTTTCTATAAGCAGAATTTCACCTGTAATTCTGATTTTTTGCAACTTCTATTTTCTTTTGTATGTGTTTATGTATGCATGTGCACATGCATGTGTGTTTTAGAAGGTATTGTGGCTCAAACCCAGGGACTTGGGGATCCTAGGCAGGTACTTTACTTATTCCCTAGCTAAATACTAGCCTTCTTCTGATTCCCCTCTTTTTTGTTTCCTTTTTTTAAGGGGGTGGGGTCTTTTTTTTTGACACAGGGTCTCCCTGTAGCTCCAGCTGGCCTGGAACTTACTATATAGGCCAGGCTAGCCTCCATCTCACAGAGATCCACCTGTATCTGCCTCCTGAGTGCTGGGATTAAAAAAGGTGTGCGTTAGCACACCCAGCTACTTAAAAAAATTTCTTTATAATTTTTAAAAAATTTATTTTTTTGCCAGGCATGGTGGTGCATGCCTTTAATCCCAGCACTTGGGTGGCAGAGGCAGGTGGATCTCTGTGAGTTCAAGGCCAGCCTGGTGTACATAGTGAGTTCCAGGACAGCTGGGGCTACAGGGAGACCCTGTCTCAAAAAGACCAATAAATAAATAAATAAATAAATAAATAAATAAAATAAAATAAAAAATCCCCTGGAACTGGAGTTATGGACAGTTGTTAAGTTGCCAGTGGTGTTGGGAATTGAACCTATGTTCTCTGTAAGAGCAGTCAGTGCTCTTAACCGCTGAACCATCTCTCCAGCCCTCCTTTTTCTTTCTTTGAAATTACTTTTCCAGTTTTCTTATTGGAAAACCCCTTTTCCCACTTTACCTGTGGCAGCTGTGGATCCAAGTCGCCAAAGTTCCAAGTGGTGAGCAAACTGGAAGAGGAGCAGCTGCCTTCTTTTAGAGCAGGAAACGAGCCTCCGCTGCATCCAAGAATTGCAAAGTCACAGACAGTCCAGGCTTATCTCCTGCTTTGATATCAGATGCAGCAGCATCTCAGCACATTTCCCCCAGTGCCAATTCCATTTATTTGATAAACATATCCTAAATTCTATCACTGGGTAGCCACTGTCCTAGGATCTGAGAACACAATGGTGACTAAAACAGTCATTGATCTCAAGACACTTCTAAACAGGTGACATAGACTAGGGAGTTATGTTACAAGATTCAACATGAGTAGACACAGCACACAATGGAGTAACACAGAAAGGACATCTATCCTAGACTTGTGGGGGCAGATCAGAGGAGGTTCTCTGGTAAAAACTACTCAAGTAAAGGAGGCAAGGCAGGATGTGGTAGGAAAGGACAAGGGCATGTGAAACAGGTCAAACGCATAAGCACTGAGGAAGAGATTTTCAGAATAACAAGACTGGGCGAGATGGGCCAGTCCAAGGTCAGCCAAGGTCCAATCCGCCACACCAAGAATTCAGGCCTATATGCTGACAACAGTGACAACCAAAGGCTTTTAAGCATGAAGGAATGAACACATGCTTTAAAAGACCAGTGGAGAACAGACTAGAATGACACAAATGGAAACAAAGGAGATCATTAAGGAAGCCACTGTAAAGGAATCCACAGACAACACCTAATTGGACAATGTCAGCACAGAAATGACTCAATTCAAATGAGAGTGAGGACTATGTCCAACTTCATCAAACTGTGTACATGAAATACATGGTTTTTCTACCCCAAACACATCTTAAGGCAGATATGTATATATGTATATGCATACTGTGATAACAAGACAGGCCCAGCTTAGATTATCAGCAAATGGACTGTGGAAAGAGGTGTGGGGTGGTCTAGCTCTTGTGGGGATAGTGCCATTTACACAGAATAAACAAACCAACAAAATTCCCATAAAGCCCAATTATTTGTAAAAGAGAATGATTTCAGCTGGGCCTGGTGGCACACACCTTTAATCCCAGCACTCAGGAGGCAGAGGACAGCTGGGGCTAAAGGGAGACCCTGTCTCAAAAAGACCAAAAAAAAAAAAGAGAATGATTTCTCCAGAAAGTAAACTTGGGGTGCCACTACAAAGCTCTTGCCTTCCCCCTAAATGTCTTAAGAAAGCTTGCCTCAAAGAGTCAACACCACTATAACATGTGAGCTATGTTCATGGTCTCATGGGATGAGGGAAGGGAGACACAAAGGATAGGAGGGGCTACTTACATGGGGGAAGGTGATCTTTCGGAGAGCAGCATCATAATTCTTGACCTCCACCTTCTCCATGAGAGGACGAATGACAAGGTGGGTGTCAGTGCCTGAGGCAAGGGCAGAGGAGAGGGAGTACAGAATGAGAAGTCCTGCCTGAAAAGAAAATACCCAGACCTTGGCAGAGCAAAGCAATGGCTGGCTGGGGGAGACCCTACCTCCAGAGATCAGAGCCGTCGGGCTGTGGGCCACAGTGCGCACGTCGTGAGTGTGGTGCTGGAATGGTTTGGTTCGCACCCACTGCTTCTCACTGCTGTTAGAGGTCACAGAGACCAGCTGAAAATGGAATACTGTGCCCTCGGCTGTACCCACCACGAAACTGTCTTCTTGCTGAGAAATTAAATCATGAAGGAGTAGAGGTCAACAAAGCAGAGTCCAGAAGGAAAACTATTTCCTCGGGTTTTCTATCTGGGCAGCTCAGGGGAAAAGAAAACTTGTGCCCCGAATAAAGGGGAGGTTCCCTGGGTTGGTTCCATCAGAGCAAGCTTAGATAAGGGAATAATGCGCCCCCTACTGACAATGCTAACAATAAGCAGTGCCGCTTGTCTTATGCAGTCACAGCATGGTCTAGTTAATGACAAACCAAATATAAGATGCTGGTTCCAGAAGATAATGGTGCTAAAATGTCACTATTCCCTAGAGACATCAAACTTGTCAGTGTAGAGCACAAAACATCACTCACAATTTGTAGATATTGATGTAAACACATCTTCTGAATGTGTTCTAAGTTTGGTTTGGGGATTTTTATTTTTTTTTATGGCAATTTAAGAAACATCTTTTATTATTATTTTTTTTTCTTTTTGAAACAGGGTCTCCCTGTAGCCCCAGCTGTCCTGGAACTCACTATGTAGACCAGGCTGGCCTCGAACTCATAAAGATCCACCTGCCTCTGCCTCCCAAGTGCTGGGATTAAAGGCGTGCGCCACCACGCCCAGCAAGAAATATCTTTTTAAGTTCCAAGTAGGGCATTTGGTTTTTTATTTTATGTGTATGAATGTAATGCCTGCATGTAGGTGGATGCATACCTGTTATACGATGACTGCAGAGGTCAGAAGAGGGTGTAGGATATCCTGGAACTGGTGTTACAGAGTTGTTAGCTGCCAAGTGGACACTGGGAATTGAACACAGGCACTCTGCAAGAGTAGCCAGTGCCCTTAACTGCTAAGTCATCTCTCCAGTCCCAGCATTTGGTTTTTTTATTTGATCATATAAAAAATAATTTTCTAAGGCTGGAGAGATGGCTCAGTAGTTAAGAGCATTGGCTGTTCTTGCAGAAGACCTGGTTTCGAATCTTAACACCCACATGGCAGCTAACAACTGTCCGTAACTCCAGTTCCAGGGGATCCGACAGTCTCTTCTGTCCTCCACAGGCATTGCATGACACAGGAACACTTACCTACATGCAGGCAATACACTCATACACATAAAATAAAAATAAGAAATAAAATCCTTAGTGATCTTTATATTTTAAAGATACTTATTTAATAAATTCATTTATTATTTATGTCTATGGGTGTTCTGCCTACATGTATGTATGTAAGCACACCTGTGTTGTGTAATGCCTGCGGAGGCCAGAAGAGAGCATTGGATTTCCTGGGACTGGAAATACAGACGGTTGTTAGCTACCATGTGGATGCTGGGAACCAAACCCAGGTCCTCTGCAAGAGCAGTCAGTGCTCTTAACTGCTGAGCCATCTCTCTAGCACCAGTGATGTCTTTTTTTGTGTGGCAAGGTCCTCTGTAGCCCCAGCTGGCCTGGATCTCACTATGGAGACCAACCTGGCTGCAATTAAAGGCATGTACCACCATACCCGGCTCAATTTTTTTTCTTTTTAATGACAGTTTTTGTATATACTAGCAAAACTCTATGAGTCAGGTCTTTCTTTACTTAGTATGTACTAAATTAATACAAATTACAGTATAACCTGGTAATTTTTCTCCAGCAGTAAACTGACATTTTCCTTATTTTTATTTTTTTGAGACAGGGTCTCCCTGCAGCCCCAGCTGTCCTGGAACTCACTATGTAGAGCAGGCTGGCTTTGAACTCACAGAGATCCTCCTGCCTATGCCTCCCAAGTGCTGGGACTACAGGTGTGCGCCACCACGTCCGGCTCATTTTCCTTATTTTTTAAGCACCTGCATAGCATAAGTAGTAAACCCTTAAATGGTGCTAAGCCGAATAATTAATTTGAAAACTAACTACTCTGAAGCTGGGTATGGTGTCATAGGCCTATAATCCCAATACACAGGAACCTGAGGAGAAAGGATTCTGAGTTTAAGGCTAGCCTGGACTACGTAGTAGAACTTGACTCAACTCTCCGACCCCATCAACTGCCCATCCATCAAAGACTGGGGGAAGAGGAACACCATTAGAAATCTGTGCTAACTCATCTTTTTTGAATAAATTTGCTAATTGTTAGATACTATAGAAGAGTGGGTCTTCAGATGCACTTTCCTAATCCTAACCCTGCCCTCCTCCAATATAACATCTGAGTTAGGAAACCCTATTTGTGGTGTCACTGACTTAACTCCTCAGGTTGGACATCAACTGCTGAAAAGCAGGAATCATACTCACATCAGCAACAGCAATGGACTGCACATCAGCATTTGCGATGAGGTGGCTCTTGACAAGTGTCCCAGTAGCAGAGTCCCATAACTGCACTTTCCCAACAGAGTCCACACTTATGACAGTGCCATCGGACAAGAAGGCCACACCCCACACAATACATTTTGACTTAGTCATTCCCAGGTGTTGCCTATCTACAATCATCTTACGGAGAGTGCTCCCTAAAAAATAAGAAAAGCACACGAGGATGGAATCAATTTCTCCTTTAGTTTTTGAAAACCACACAGGAAGCATGATGTGGTAAGTCGGCTGCCTGAATACAGCCAGCCAGTAAATACAGCTGTGGTAGTCAGCGCTAAAACTCCAAAGTGGTCCCTGAAGAGGAAAGAGGGAGAAAGAGAACAGAATAGCAGAAATCACTCTGGGGAGGTGGAATGGAGAGAGAAGTGTGACATTCACCTAAAGCTGGTCCACTGCGCATACACACTCTAGACTGCAAAGCTGGTCCACTGCGCATACACACTCTAGACTGCAAAGCTGGTCCACTGCGCATACACACTCTAGACTGCAAAGCTGGTCCACTGTGCATACACACTCTAGACTGCAAAGCTGGTCCACTGCGCATACACACTCTAGACTGCAAAGCTGGTCCACTGCACATACACACTACACTGCAAAGCTGGTCCACTGCACATACACACTCTAGACTGCAAAACTGGTCCACTGCGCATACACACTCTAGACTGCAAAGCTGGTCCACTGCGCATACACACTCTAGACTGCAAAGCTGGTCCACTGCGCATACACACTACACTATGAAGCTGGTCCACTGCACATACACGCTACACTGCAAAGCTGGTCCACTGCATATACATACTCTATACTGCAAAGTCAGTCCACTGCACATATACACTGTACACTGTAAAGCTTGCCCAGTGTACACGCACACTATACTGCTCTTTTCCAAAACTCCATGTATAACAAAGGAGACAGAAAATGTGTAAAACTCAGCAATGGGTATGGGTACCTAAATAAGCAGAGCCCCAAAATCAAAACCAGGTCAGTCCTAGAGGAAAACCAAGGAGCCACCCAACTTACACATGGAATCCTCAGGAGCTGGGTACTCCAGACAACAGAAACAGATGTGAAGGTGGGGCTTCAAGGAAGATCAGTTGAATACCTAATTTTCTGTGGCCTCATCCAATGGCCTACACACACACTTACGCACACACACGTGCAGACAGAGAGTGAGAGAGAGGAGTGATGTTTCTAGTGGGCATCTTAAGAGGTTAAATTAAAAGCAAGGCAGAGTCAAACTTTTAGAAACAGAAATGTAAATTTGACAAACAAAACCACATCCAAATGAATTTAAAAACAAAGTCACCTGATTTGACATCAAACACACTAATGTAGTCTATGGAACCAGCTGCAATGTGGGTACCAGCAGGATGCCAGCTGAGACTCAGGATGCGACCTTAGGATTTATGCAACAAAAAAAGAAGGTGACACACAAATCAGTATACAGCAAAGGTAACTGAGCTGTCCTTCCACAATTATCTACATGGTTAGTGTTCTACAGTCTGTTGTCTTGTCCACCTTACTCTGAAAGCACTTGAGAAATTGCCCTGGGAAGCTCAATGAAGTACCTGGAAATGGAATACCACACAGACTGGTACCATCACATGGAAAGGAATAAGCAATACAGCAAGTGAAAAAAGCAGGCAGAAAACATTAGGGCCAATTTTAAGTTTTTTATTTTTAACATTTATTTGCGTGTGTGTATAGGAGGCATACTTTTGTGGTCAGAGGATACTTGCAGCACTCATTTCTCTCCTTCCATCATGTAGGTTCTGGGAATGGAATTCAGGTTCTCAGGCTCGGTGGCAAGTATAACCTACAGAGCCACCTCACCAGCCTGTAAAACTACTTTATGCATAGGCTTATATGAATATATAAAAAATAACCTAGAAGATTGGTTTCAAAATTGTCTTCTGAGTAGAATGATACTTATTTTCTATTTCATACTAGGCTAACAATGACACTTAGAATTGGGCCAATGGGGCTGGAGAGATGGCTCAGTGGTTAAAAGCACTGACTGCTCTTGCAGAGGACCCCGGTTCAATTCCAAGCACCCATATGGCAGCTAACAGCCATCCATAACTCCAGTTACAGGGAATTCAATGCCCTCTTCTGACCTCCCTGGGTATTGCACAACAAAGGTGCAGTTACACACTAATACCCATAAAAGTATCTTTTAAAAAATAGTATTGGGTGGTGTGGTGATGTATGCCTTTAAACCCAGCATTCAAGAGGCAGAGGCAGGCAGATCTCTGTGAGATCCAGGCCAGCCTGGTCTATATAGGGGGTTCCAGGCTAGCTGGGGCTACAGGGAGACCCTGTCTCACCCTGCCCAAAAGCATTGTATTAGCTTTGTAATTACAAAAGAACAAAAATCTGATTAGCAGTGGGTAACTATGCGTGAAGGACACAGAACACACAGCATCGTTACTACCCTCTAGAAGAGGCATTAACAAACTACAGTCCTGCTGGTTTTTATAAATGAAGTTGCACCAGAGTACCACACACATTCATTTATGATGTGTCTTTGGCTTTCTGTGCTACATCTACAGAGTTAGCAGAGACTATTCAGTCTTCAAAGCCTGAAGTACTGATAAATTTAGTACTATGAAACCGTTTGTCAACCCCTGCTCTGTACCTCAGTGTCAATATAATGCACTCTAGCCCAAGCACCAGCAATTGCTTCTAAAACTCATTAGATTTAAATTCTCTAGTAGGGTTAAGAACCACAAGTAGGGCTTGGTGGCTCATGCCTACAATCCCACCACTGAAGCAGGAATGCCATGAGTTTGAGGCCAGCCTGGGCTACATACAGATTACATTTCAAGTTAGTGAGAGCATCTCATAAAAAACCCAAAGAAGAACAGGAGTGAGGGATGTGTGTCAAGAGTCTCCTATGGCGCCACCTGTACTCTCATCACTCAGGAAAGAGGCAGAAGATACAGTTTGAGGCCAGACTGGTCTATAAGACACAGTTTCAAAAGAATTCTCCAAATGATAAAACTCTAGTTTTAAGACTAAAATTGCACAAAAATGGTGCTAATACCCTTATTTCCACAGAAATGCTAGTTTTCTATTTTGAACTTTGGTTCACAACTATGCTATATAATTTATATAATTGAATGCCTTTTTTTTTTTGGTCTTTTGAGACAGGGTCTCCCTGTAGCCCCAGCTGGCCTTGAACTCACAGAGATCCGCCTGCCTCTGCCTCCTGAGTGCTGGGATTAAAGGTGTGCATCACCATGCCCAGCACTAAAACATTTCTTGTACTAAGATAAGATCAGCATATACCTAATCCACTATTTATAGCCATAGGAAAATATCCTTAATGGCCAAGAAACAGAACTTGTTGCTAAAGCTATTCATTAACTCACCAACATCGACCCTTACTTTTTTGCCGATCAAAATTTCTTGCAAACTGGATTTTGTCTGGGGTGACTTCAAACAGTTTCACAGATCCATCTTCACAGCCAACCTATTTAGAGACAAAGAGGTAGGAAACGAAGTTTCATAGGACTCAGTATCCTATACAAATATATGTTTCTACTCTAAAGCTGTCACTTGACCTAAAACAAAACATCGTAAGAGAAAAAACAAGAAACTGATAGCATTCTTGGCTGACTTCATGTTCTAGTCAGAAAGCAAGCTGATGAGAGTTCTATCAATGGCCCAATTCCTGCACATGACACAGAACAGGACTTCACAGCACACCTCTGCTGGGGACGCACAGCCTAAATAAAAGATCAACTGACCTTTCAACCTAAATGGAGACATTTCAGGAAATTATACAAATTAGCACAAGTAGAAAAAAAATCATAAGACTCATCACAAAAAAATTAAATCTTGGGGTGGTGAGATGGCTCAGTGGGTAAAGGCACTTGCATTTAATAAGTCTGATGACCTGAGTTCAATCCTTAGGATCCACATGGTAGGAGGAGAGAACCAACTCTGGCAAGTGTCCTCTGACCTCCAAATGTGCACTGTGGCATGCAAGGCATGCCCCCTCAAGTAAATAAATAAATGTAATAAAAAATTAAATCTCTAAAAGCACTTAATAGTAATTATAGGGGGGGAATCTGTATTAAAAATTTTGGTTAAGAAAGACTGCTGGAGTGCACAGGATAACTTACTGCAGGACCTCCCAGAATACATACACACACACACACACACACACAGAGTTAATTTACAGGATTTAACATCCAGTATTTCTGAAACAAAAGTTATCATAAAACATAAAGCATAAGCATAGCTGGGCATGGTGGACTGCTGGAGTGCACAGGATAACTTACTGCAGGACCTCCCAGAATACATACACACACACACACACACACACAGAGTTAATTTACAGGATTTAACATCCCGTATTTCTGAAACAAAAGTTATCATAAAACATAAAGCATAAGCATAGCTGGGCATGGTGGCGCACGCCTTTAATCCCAGCACTCTGTAGACAGAGGGAGGCGGATCTCTATGAGTTCAAGGCCAGCCTGGTCTTTTTTTTAATAGTGAGTTCCAGGTCAGCTGGGGCTACAGGGAGACCCTGTCTCAAAAAGACCAACCCCCCCCGAAAAAACCATAAAGCATTCCAAAACAAAAGTCTCTACATTTCTCAGTTCCAAAGCAGTTTGAGAAATGCCAAAATGAACTGACCCTTTCATTTTACAAATGAGTAAACAAGGTCCAAGCTAGCAGCATAAAGGCAAAATGACCAGGGATTTTTAGTCTTTAATGTCAATTACAATCTTGGTGATTAGGATGCCTGGTACTGGGCAAAGCTTGAAGTTGCTACATGAGATAATACTCTCCTTATAAACACAGGGAAGGAAGTCTGAGTGGGCATAAGAGTAATCTGCTTTGAATTACTAACTGCTTACTGACCAAGAGTTGAGAGCCACTGGGGCTGGCAGCCAGACTCCAAATAGGTCCTCCAGAGGCATCCAGGGCATACTTGATGTTTAATGTCTGTAGGTCATACTCAAGAATTTCTCCGTTGAGTCCAGCACTAAAGAGCCGCTGTCCTTCTGCCCAACACAAGGCTTCAGTCGATCGAGACTCATGACCTGGGAAAAACTAGAGAAATACCACAAGCTTCATTGAATTCATCAGTCACCAGCACTGAGTCACAGGCACCATGGTGAAAATTACTTCCCCACAAATAACTAGCCTGAGGCGTGGTGCTATCAAAGCATTCATGCCTATTAGACACTTCTTTCAGCTTCAAATTTAAACTTTAAAAAATATTATTTTATTATTTTTATTTTATGTGTATGCGTGTATTGCCTGCATGTAGATAAATGCACCCGTGTTGTGCAATGCCCTCAGAGGTCAGAAGAGGCTGTCAGATCCCCTGGGACTGGAGTTATGGACAATTGATAGTTGCTATGTGGGTGCTGGGATTCGAACCCAGGTTTTCTGCAAGAACAACCAGTGTTCTTAACCGCTGAGCCATCTCTCTAGGCCCTCAGCTGTACTTAGGCTGGGCATGATGGAGCACACCTTCACTAGCATTCAATCCTAGCACTTTGGAGGCAGAGGTAGGAGGATCTCTATGAGTTTGAGGCCAGCCTGGTCTACATATTGAGTTCTAGGTCAGCCAGTGCTAGGCAGTAAGAACTTGTCTTTGAAAAAAAAAACAAAACACTGTATTTTAGTTACATATTTAGTTCTTTCTTTTTCTTTCCCTTTTTAAAAAATAGGACTAACAGCAAAAGTTTTTCAGCAGAATAAGTATATTCAAAATTGGTTTAGCTAGGTATGGTGGCTCATAACTATGATCCTAGCACTCAGGAGGATCATTGTGAATCTGAAGTCAGGCTGGGCTACAGTGTGAGACCTGTGCTAAAACAAAACAAAACAAAACAACAACAGAAAAACCTGGTTTATGGGGTTGGAGAGATGGTTTAGCAGGTAAGAACACTGGCTGCTCTTTACAGAAGACCCCAGTTCAGTTCCCAGCACCACACTGTGGCTAGTAACCATCCTTAACTCCAGTTCAGGGGATCCAACATCCTCTTGTGGCCTCTCCAGGCATTATTCACATAAATATAAAAAAAAAAAAAAAAATTAAAAATTGGTTTATTGTATCCAGTTGGCTATGATGTAGCTATATAAAAATTCCTGCGAACACCTTAACTGGTTGGTGGTTTCCCTCTCATACACACAAGCACACGTTCTCCTACCTAATATTTTTGTATTGTTACTTTTCTAAAGATCTATTTTTATTTATTTATTTTTGAATGGAAATTTATAACTTGTCCGCAAACTACTTTCACAGGGTCTCATTTTGTAGCCCTGCCTGGCCTGGAACTTACTATGTAGATCAAGCTGACCTCAAATTAGGAGATCTCCCTGCTTCTGCCTCCCAAGTGCTGGAAATAAAGGAAATAATGTGCTTTCCTTCATTATATGAGTCAGAAAATTGCCTGTATGTTGATCTTTCTTCCACTGGTCTTTGAGCTCCATGAAGGTAAGGCTTCTGATACTTGTCTTAAAAACATCAGTAGTTGACACTCATTCACTTTAGAAACATTTATAGAATGCCTAAATTCCAAGTGCCAGGCTGTTGGACAATGAACACTCATTTACCATCTCCTATGAACTGAGTTACCTATTGTTCCCGAAAAAAATCAGTGCCCTTGAGAAAAAGTGCTGCTTAACAGCCCTCTATGTGCACCCCCAAAATGTTTCACCTAATTAAAAATCTCCTTCACTCCCAAATATAGATTTAAGCCTACATTCTTGCAGACAGGTGAACTCAGGAGTCTACCCTACCACCATCATGTTACCAAAGAGTTTTCTGATATTATGTTTCTTCATAATAGTGAAGGCATTCTATAAATGTTTCTAAAGTGAATGAGTGTCAACTACTGATGTTTTTAAGACAAGTATCAGAAGCCTTACCTTCATGGAGCTCAAAGACCAGTGGAAGAAAGATCAACATACAGGCAATTTTCTGACTCATATAATGAAGGAAAGCACATTATTTCCTTTATTTCCAGCACTTGGGAGGCAGAAGCAGGGAGATCTCCTAATTTGAGGTCAGCTTGATCTACATAGTAAGTTCCAGGCCAGGCTCCCTAAAGACTTACTTTCTCTTGAAAGTAGTTTGCGGACAAGTTATAAATTTCCACAGTGCCATCTGTTCGTGAAACAGCCAATCTGTTTGACTGGTTATTGTAAGCCACACATCGGATCCCTGGTGGAACATAATGGTAGTGGGATCCCCAGCAGGAAATGTCACTTTACCAAAGTTGCAATGATCTCAGTATCTTTTTTTTTTTTGGAGACAGGGTCTCACTATGCAACCCTGGCTGGCTTAGAACTCATAAAGACCTGCTTGCCTCTGCCTCCCAAGTGCTGGGATTGAAGGTATGCACTACTGTATTAGGCTAAATACCCTTTATTGTAGTGTCCAAAAGATCCAGCAAATCAGCTTCCAAATGGCAAGCACTGAAACAGTGCTTAGGTAGGATCTTTCTAAATGTTATATAGATCAAAATACCGAGCTTCTATCACCAATCTGACAAGGGATCTCATCTATCTTACAGAAGTTATGTAGCATCACTTAATCTATTTGAATACAGGACATGTAAGCTGTAGAAGTGACCTGGGGCGGAGGATCACATCAGAACACCACATCAGGCTCCCTAAAGACTTACTTTCTCTTGAAAGTAGTTTGCGGACAAGTTATAAATTTCCACAGTGCCATCTGTTCGTGAAACAGCCAATCTGTTTGACTGGTTATTGTAAGCCACACATCGGATCCCTGGTGGAACATAATTAAAGAAACGTACTCGATGGACCTTAAATTCACCCATTCCTGGGGGGACAAAAAGAGTAATTGTTGATGAATATTAACTAGAGAATCTCCTATGCAATCCATTTATTATTATTACTGTCTTGGATGGAAGGCTCTCTCCCAAGTTCATTTCTAATAATGCTGTCCTGCCCTGGCAAGAATCTATCAATCTTCAGAAGCTCCGGATGGTATCAACACGGATGCTTCTTAATAAGCAAAAGAAACTTAATAAGCCCTGCTCCTTAGCTCCATCATTCTAGCCTCCTGGGGGAGGAAGAGTTGCTTGAAAATCTGCAATTTAGCAAAGAACTTCTCTCCCCAACTCTTACAGAATGCAAAGTTTGCAAATCCCAGACCCACTCCAAGAGAGTGACGTGGGGCTGATGGGGGAGAGGAAACCGAGTGCTCAAGCGGGCACCGACAGGACTTGGTGCTATTTCTCTCTCCCCTGCCTGGATCACATCGACCGGGTCACACACCTCCTGGGTGAAGACCGGAAGTGGGTCACCCTCACTCGTCTACCTTCCTGGGTGGGAGCCCGCAGCAGCGCATGCACGTTGCAACAGGGTCTGCGGGGCGTGAGGTGTCGGCCCCCCTGCCCTCTCCCAGGGTCTACAGAGCAGCCTCCATGCGGCATAGATCGGATCCCGGATGAGCTCCGCGGGTCCCGAACCGTGGCCAGCCGCCCCCGTCCCGCCTCCGCTCCCCCTGCCCCTCCGCGGCCCTTCCCAGCTCACCTGCGGCCAGCACCGCCAACCCCGAGACCTCGCCTCTCTCTGCCCAGGCCCCACGTGCGCGCGCCCGCGCGTCCCCTCCAGTTCTGCCCCGGAAGTACTCGGAGGCGCGAGGCCGGAAGTGCGCAGGCAATGCTCGCGGCGGCGGCGACGGCGGCGGGAGGTTCGGTTGTCGCCCGTTGGCCGCGCGGCGCCGCGCTCGGCCGCCGCCATTGCAGGTCAGGCCGCGGGCGGGGGCTGCGGGAGGCTGCGGGGA